TTTGCATGTTCCCCTCTTTTTGTCATCAGTTCGGTTACTTCCAAAAGACTTACTTCTTCTGTTGTGAACTTTGCCGCTTGAATTTCCTGATTTTAAACCATGTTTAATTTCAGTTGCTTGAATCTGATATTCAGCTTCTTCTGCAGTCCAATCTTTGAGTGTAATTAGAGACTCGACCCTTCTATTTTCTTTTACCCAGCGAATGTATTGAGACAATAATTTCTCTGGCAGTTTTTCAAGAATGATAGTGTACAAAGTTCCCGCTTCTAAATCAGCCGCTCTATTGTTCTCCTGTAGATTTATCACTGCCCTCTCCAACATGTCTGCAAATTTTTCCAATTCTTTTGAATTTTCCTCTCCGATTGGCTTCAGTTTTATTAATTCGTCTACATGACACTGAATTTCCCTACGATTTCCACCGTATTTTCTCAACAACCTCGACTTAGCAGCCTCATAAGCAGCTTCAGAATATCCTAAACCCTTAATCGTTTCTAAAGCTTCGCCCGCTAAACATGCCTCCAATCTCAACATCTTAAACTGAGCAGACATTCCAGTTGCATCCACGCAACTCGTAAATGTTGCGTTCCAGTGCTGAAATTCAGTTTTGTTCCCGCTAAATGTTGGAATGCGAATTCTTTCTAGGTTATTCACCCCACTATCAACCTTCCTTTGCGGCAAACTGGTGTTAGAGTTACTCGAGTAAGATGGTGGACTTACCGGCCGTGTGTTCCGTGTTACTGAAGTCAAGACGCGACGAGCGGCGCTAGCTTCACCTTCAATTCTTTCGTTTAATTCATCCGCTTCATCCCCGACTTTAACTTGCATTTCAGTGTTCTTTAGCTCCTGATACAATGTCCGTAATTCTTCCAGTATTTCGAAAGTTTTTTCCTTAATCTTTTCCAAACGCTCCAAAGTAGCTTTAATTTCTTCAATTTCTTCAAAACTTCTTGGTTCAACGCCGCCGCTGACGCCAGCAACCCGACTCGCTAACTCATTTAGCTGTCTTGTTATCGCCCCTTTTAATTTCCGTTTTTCCGCTTTTAAAGCTTCCACTTTCATCATACGGTCTTCGGCTGAATCTTCTTCGTTGTCCGACATTTTTCCACTGATTTCCTTAGTAAAATCCACAAAGTTTCCTCACCTTTGACGAAAACAACACTATTGTCAACTCGCCACACAAATCCTCCACGTCCAAGACCGTTTTCCTTTGAAAATTCCAACTTTTAATCCACTTTATCCGGCTTCGAAGGACCAGAAATGTTTCTCCTTAGGTTCCTAAATTTTCTCAGTCCTCTTCCTAAAAAAGTCCAGAGTTCCCATTGAAAAAATCCCGTAAAAAAGACAAAAACATCCACACAAGATTGTTTTTTCTATGGCGTAAGCGTTCGTCCCCTAAATCCGGGGACTTTTATTTGAAACTGTCAATCTTCCCGCGCGTAACGTAATTTCCGGTAAAAATGCACTTCCGGTTCGCTCTTACAAACAATTCTTTAGAAAAAAGGCACAAGAAATAATCCTTAACAGGGGGTCATGTGGTCTTTTGCTCTTCAGTCGCTGCCTGCGGTTTCTTATCTTTGCTCCATTATCCATCAGGCTAGCTGAAGGGTTAGTTTTTCCTTTCTTTTGTTAAAAGTGGCTTAATAGCCTTTAGGGTTTGTTTCCATAGTTTCCTGCGAGCTGAATCTGAATTATTATTTTAAAAGGTTCCCTGGTATAGTTTTGACATGCTGGACCCTGGCTCTTTCGCGTTGCTTGCAGGATATTGAAACTCCTATTAAAGCTACCCTACTCTTTTAGTACAAAAAAATGCACTGCCGCTCAGTAAACAGTGTTGCTTGCATCAGTCAATTCCAACCCCTTTCATGTAAATTAGAATAAGTCTTAGGACTGGAGCGCGATAATGTTATTGTTTCTCCCTTTGCGGTTATTGTCACATTTGCCAGCTAGGGAGCAACATTATTTTGTTTTTGAGGCGAGAGCAGTACAACCGTTCTGACTGGTTTACTGTTGACCTTACGGGTTTATCAGGCCTTATCACAAGGGTCGGAAATTTCCTTGTCCAATTGGCTGCTTTACAGCTAATTATAGAAGCCACTAATGGGCTCCCACGAATTACAAGGGGTGGATCTCGGATCCTTTTTTTCTGGAAGGAGATAAAGGTATGCATTGTTTCCGTTTTTGTTTGGCCCTTTGTCTTTGAGGACAGCTCAAAATATCCGCTGTTTTCTGTGGCCAGAAAGTAGGCATACATTGATCTGAAAGAAGTCTTTGATTGACATCTTTCTAAGAAACACTCAAGGAAGCTTGAGCTTACTGAGCACACTGTCACGGTTGAAAAATCATGATGCAAAGACTAGCCCGTGCCAGGCTCTCAGATAACAACAACAACAACATCTTTTATTTAAACACGGTGGGTTTTAAAGCTAATATAGCTTATGGGGCCGTGTAAAAAATGTTAATAAAATAAAATAATAAAAATTATTAAAATTGAATGTAGTCAATAAAAGGTGAAATATGTACAATAAAAGATATGAATAGAATTAATAAAAGACGAAATCACTGTCAATTTGGGGACGACCCATTTGCGGTGACTCTTCATTAAAGTTCAGGTTTCTGAGGGCGAGAGACTTTTTTGCCCTTTTGGCATAGTCCAATGACAATGGATCCTCTGTAAGAAATAGAGTTTTTCACATAATAAGTTTCAAAACGTTGTACGCTAACACGATGTTGATGACGGATGTCATACTTAGACTCCTTCCTTTGGATTATATGTTCCAAACATGATGGAGTTATGCGGTTGTATATATTATAAATTAAGGTGGCTATTTTGACCTTATAAGTGTCGAATAAAGAGTCCCAGTTAGCTGTTTTTCTTACATCCTCAGAGGGCATATCGCGCGAGAGGTTATATATAACTCTAGCAGCCCTACAATGTATAGATTTCGAGGAATTAAATTCATTTTTATTTGTACAACTCCCCCAAATTGGTAACGCATATGTAACCGAGGGTAAAATGACTTTGAAATATAAATCTAAAAGCGAATTCCTGGGTAAAAAGCGGCTGCGTTTGATTAGATTGAGCTTGTTAACGGACCCTCTCTTGAGCTCTAATATGTGTTTTGTCCACGTAAGCTTGTTGTCAATGGTTACACCTAACAGCTTAGAACTTGAGGACCATTTTATTAGATGCTGGTTAATTTTTAAACTGCCTAAGGGACCGATAAAATGATTTCGTTTAAGGATCATTCCCTCGCACTTTTTGGGGTGTGGTACCAGGGAGTTGTGTTTGCACCATAGGGCGAGTTCCTCTAGAGCTTTGTTCAGCGTTGCTGTGCCCTGGTCTACGGATTCACCAACACAGTACATGGTAGTATCATCAGCGTACAGGAACGTCGTTGCAGTGTTAACTGCTTTCGGTAGATCGCTTGTGTACAAGGCGAAGAGTATGGGCCCGAGTACGGAGCCCTGTGGTATACAGTGTGCAACTTTGGTATTCTCAGTGTGCGCCATTAATTTACAGTATACTGTTCCCGATCAGATAGATAATCTCTTAGCCATACTAGTAAGTTTCCTGTGATTCCAAAGTTGTGCTCTAGCTTGTGAAGAAGAATTGAGTGAGAAACGCAATCAAACGCCTTCTGGAAGTCTATGAATACGGCGCCCACAACTAATTTGTTATCGATTGCTCGTCGCCAAGTTTCAGTCAGGTGGATGAGTAATAGCTCTGTCGATCTTCCTTTTCGGTAGGCCCATTGGTTGTCAGTGACGAGCGCTTTTTTCAAGAAGACATGTTTCGCAATCATGTCCGCTACACATGATTCTAAAATCTTGCTGGGTACACTTAGCAAGGAGAGGGGACGATAATTACTCATTACCGTAGGATCATCTTTTTTGAATACAGGTGTTAGTCTGGCCACTTTCCAATTATTGTAGACTCTACATTCGCGTATGCTTTACATGAAAAGGCTGGTCAGCGGGCCAACAACAGCAGTACCTGCGAGTTTCAATAATTTGGGTGATATACCATCCGGTCCGGTGGCTTTATTATTCTTCAATAATGTTATTTTCCTGTCAATATCAAGGCTAGATAGATTAATATCGGATATACATGGTACAGGTTTAGAGCATTGACTAGTCAAGGGTTGTGGTGCTTGGAGTTGCCCAGCATTTAATTTCTCAGCTATCGTACAGAAGAAACAGTTCATAAGGCTCGCTTTCTCCGTGTCTTTTACCGCTAAGCTGTTGTCGTCACGCTTTAATGGGCCTATCTTCTTCCTTACTTTGGGGTTGGTAGCTTTGGATATTACATTCCAATACGCCGAGGTGGTCTTCGCCTTTTTCAGCTGATCTCTGAAGTATGCAGCCTTCGCTTTCCTAAGGTCAGATGTTATTTCGTTTCTCAACCTCTTATAGTCGGCCCATGTATTTTGATCCTTAGTTTCAACTGCTCTCTTGAATAACTTAAATCGGCGATTCATTTTCAACCTGATAGTGTTATTGATCCACGGTGATGATACACTTCGCACTTTAATTTCTTTCAGTGGAGCGTGTGAATCGCAAACGCCCCTGAACAATTGATTCCGCGCCCAGAGGATGTCATCCATATCGTTAAACACTGATGCAATGTAGAAGGGTGTTTGTTCCATGTCTGCTTTGAAATTCTCTGTATTAAATTGTTTGAAGTTCCTGACTGTAATGACTGTGGGTGGCGGTCTTTTTCGTTTTAACCTCAGGGTTGCATATACTAGGCTGTGATCTGTGATGCCCAGTGGCAATACTCCAGTTGTCCTAACCAATTCCGGCTTATTTGTGGCAATCACGTCAATCAAGGTCTCTGTCGAAGGTGTGATGCGTGTTGCTTCCTTTATCACATTTTGCATATTAAACACATCAAAAATATGCAGTAAATTTCTTGTTTTGGTTTGTAAGTCAGAGAAGGAAGAACATTCGTTTACTCGAAGCAAGTTACAATTCAAGTCTCCAAGTAGAACAATATTATCTGTTTTCATCCAAGCTTTTTCCATCACGTCCTGCAAATTAGTGAAGAAATTTGGCGAGTAAAGTTCAGATCTGTAAATTACTGAAAACAATACATTAGTGCTTGGAAATTTGGCCTGAATCCAGATAGCCTCTAAGCCCTTTTTAGCCAGATCCTTTCGATGGGTAACATTTACGTAATTGGCATAATATAGTACACATCCGCCGCCTTTACGTTCCTTTCTATCAAGGCGTAAAAACTCGAGGCCGTCGATGTGAATATCATGGTCAGCATCTGTTGAGTTTAAGTGTGTTTCAGTGATCCCTAGGATGTCGAAGCGGCATATGTTTTGTATCAGTCTAAGTTCATCAATTTTATTACGCAAGCTACAGATATTCAGATGACCAACACGACTATCTTTTGGGGCGGCATTAAGCTCGTTTGCCATATTATACAAATCATCTGCGTTAGTAGCCAAGTCAGCAGTCAAATTTCCGATTGAGTCCTCATGGTTGCCGCCAAACAGCGAGGAAAACGATTCGTCGGTAGTATGACTGAATGGTAATTCGGTCAATGCGTCGTTGCTTAAAGTCGCAGTTAATTGTGCACAATGTAAGCAGTTCCAGGTTTGGTCGCTTGTTGTTATGGTGTTGTGTTGCTTTGGTGTGACACCACCGCATTTGGTGTGATATGTTGAATCACACGAACTACAGATGATGATACGATGGTTTCGAGCAATGGTCCTAAAGCACTGTTGGCACTTTGGTTTATTGACGGTTGGTCCAGGGTTCTCGCTAACGTCTCCGCTTATTACCACGCGTATTAGTTGGAAAGTAGAATCTGAGTTCGCGTACCGGCTAACTCGTGCTCCATAATAGCCTACCACCTTGCTTAAACTTCCAACATGGCGCCAGCGGGTTGTAAGCCCGAAAGTAACACGGGTCTGTACAGCTTCACTGAAGTGTCGATATGATGTAAATTCTGACTCAGGCAAGGCTGTGTTAGTTGATTCATCGTCTGAAGGTAATTTCTTCGTGCTTCTGATAAGCAGCACGAGTAAAATAAGCTTAAAGAAGCAGCAAGAGAAGCCGTGGCTGTTCGCCATGACGCGAATGATAGTATAGCGGGGACGTATTAAAACGAACAAAGCGAAAATAAGACGCGCGCGACTTGGGAAAGAATTACAAAAAAAATTACTTTGAGAAATAACCAGTTTTTCAAAACGCTCGAAATACAGTCTCTTGAATCGCACCTCCCAGTAAAAAATCCTGGCTACGGACCTGTCAAGTTTTGCGTTTGGTTTAGGCTGGGCTCAGAAAACGACACCATGTTTTGTGACACTTAAAACTTTTTTCAGGTCGACTCTTGGTCAAGATTTTCAAAACACTAAATGACCGGCAGTCCTATATTCTCAGTAAATTTGACAAATCGAAAAAACCAGGATCAGGATCTCGACATATGATAGTTTGGTTTAGCTAGTTTAGAATAAGAACGAAAGTCGTTTAATCTTTGAAAAAGGTATGGATTACATTCAAAGATCGCACCTTTGAATGTAGGATGCGCAAATAATAAGCTTTTTTAAATAACGGTTTAAGAACGTTCTCTGTAAAGTGTTTCTGAAATCATATTTTTTGTTCAGAGCGCTCAGTCAAGGCAATAAAAACCTCTCTCCTTCCCCCTAGTATTACAAATTTGTCACGCCGAAGATTAAACGATCATGCACAGACTGTTCAGTCTTTTTACGGCAGCATCACCTAGGACAAAGGGCTTTTGTTTTGGTTAATTGGATCCGGTACAATAGCCCATTTCTTGATACGGATTTGAAGGTCTCATTACAACCCCTTGATGTTCGCTTCCATTGACAGGGAAAATTTGCACCCGCGATAATAGTTTAGCTCCAGTTCCGTTTAATTTGTGTGACTGTATAACCCATTTTTGAAGCTGTTGCTTAAAATTTTGAAACTGGTTGTATTAAAAAAATCACCGAAGTTGGCATGCAATGATAAATGGAATACGTTCAGAATAAACGTAAAGCCTGGTTTCCACATGATCGCTGTGATCGCTGCGATCGCTGAGAAAAAAAAGTTCAGCGATCGCAGGATTTACGGTCATTTCGTTCCATGGTCAGATCGTTCGAAGTCAGATCGTTCCACTCAAAAGTCAGATCGTTCCACAAAATAGTCAGATCGTTCCACAAAAAAGTCAGTTCGTTCCAAATATGAAAAGTCAAGTAAATTTCTCTAAATTTCTCTCGCCGGGGATAATGTTCAATCTAAAACCACTTTACATCGAGCGCGCTAACAAACACGTAGGCTACGTAGTACTTTATTGAATATATTTTTTTCTGTGTTGTGGTAAAAAATCGACAAACATAAGCTCTCACTATTGTGTGAATAGTTCTCATATCGTTCCGTAATGCGCAGTGACATTAACATACGACGCTCTCACTATTATGTAAATAGTTCTGAAAATACTTTCATCTATGTACCGATCTCTACACTGTACTCGGATCACATTTACACATTTAGAAAATATATATAACCCAGAATACAAGTATTTATAATATAATATATATATATATAAATGTATAATCAGGGGCACTCAACGAGAATACAGTTCAAAACCACTCAAACATAGCTTGTTGAACGTATTTTAGTACTTAAACGTTACATCTAGGCATATTTTTATCCCCTAAAAAGTCTAGTGATCTGAAAATTATAGGGGTCAAAACCTACCTTTTGGAAAATTTCAGCCAGAAAAAAGGCTCCCGAAAATTCTAGGTGACCTTTTTAAAATCCGTTTAATAAAAATGGACAATTATACCATTTTTCAGATGTTCGAAAATCCTAGGAGAGGCAGGCGAGCAAAAAAATTTACAACAAATGTTCCGAAAATTCTAGATCTCAAATCGTCTTCCGAACAGATATTTTCCAAAAATTGACGTTGGGTGCCCCTGATATAATCGCTGGAAACCACAGCGACAACGATCGCTGAGATAGAGAACTGTTCTATCTCTCGCTGCGATCGCTGAACTTTTTTTTGAACTCTAAGCGATCGCAGCAATCGCAGCGATCATATGGAAACCAGGCTTAAGTCTTTAAGCTTAGACTTAAGTGTTTATTTGACTTTTTATGAACTTCATTTTGGCCATGTCAAAAATACATTTGCTTGAATACTTACCTCCCGTGTATCTTGGTACTGTGATGACGACTTGACGACTTCGTAATCGACTTTCGTAATCGTTAATCGTAATACTTCGACTTCGTAACGGTCAAAATGTGTCATTCTCCGAACCCCACTCCACTGGGGTTCATGCATATGCAAGCCTTGCCTAGTCCCCGTACGGCGTTTTCCCAGTCCCTCTCGGTCAATTCGTTTCAGTGACGTATCCGAGACGAACGGGCGGGGAACGCCTAGACAAAAACAGAATGCGCATGCGTGCGTTGCTTTTCAAAATGGCGGACTTTGTTGAGCTGTTTAAGATGCTGCAAACAGCAGGTAGTTATGGTTTTAAAACCCTTGTCGATGCTTGCGACATAGTATATCGAATTTTGCCGACTTTGAAAAGCCAACAGCATATCATGTATAGTCCTTTGACGATTGATTTCTCCTCGTGTAACCTCATTCCAACTGAACATGTATCGGAGTTTGTTGCTGTTGAAACTGTTGGAGATGGTAACTGTTGCTTCAGAGCCGCTTCGTTGCTGTTATTTGGAACAGAACAATATCACCTAGAACTGCGGGTCAGAACAATTGTTGAGCTTGCAAAATATAGCTTTTATTACTTAGCTGATAGCGAAGTAATAAGTAGGATGGAAGCAGAGATGGCGATTTTGAATGGCAAAGCTGTTCCAGGTTAGAATCCGATATTTATTTCGCACTGTAAGAAAATTACTTTCGTCCTATGTAGATTATGATATGAATGTACTGTAAGAATCAACATTGCTAAATAAAACACTTGTGGACAGATTTAATGCCTTTCTAGTCATGATCTCTTTGCTGCAGTTAAATTTTAATACCAGGTGAAAAAAATAATTATATTGTGTCGAAGTGAATTTTCATTTCCCTTTTTCTCCTTACTCTTATAATTAATAATTGTGGTTAGAATACAAAGTCAATTGACAAACAGCGCGGGTAAAAAGATATTTTTAAGCTTGAATTACAGGTTTAACTTACTGTTTACATTTTATATTTACAATCACAGCTCAAAATTATATTCACGTCAAAAATTTAATCCTAAATTAAATGGTTATTTCATTTTTTTTCTGACCTAGGTTGATAAACTTATGTCATGTTTATCACAAAAGTATTGTGTTGAATCCACCTAGCAATTTCACATCTTAAAAATAATTTGTTAAATACATTCACTTCTGTAAAGTTTATTTGCATTTGCTATCTACAGAAAAAATCGAAGACCCTTGTCAGATAAAAGAAATCTTTGAGGCAGAAGTTTTAAACATGTGCAAAGAAAATTCTTGGGCTTGTCGGTGGCAATGGCATGGAATAACTTCAGTTGCTAAAAGACCCATACAAAGTGTATTTCCTGATAAAGTGCCTTCCACTCTCAAAAAAACATTAACTTATTTCATACAGCCACGTGAAATGTCTAATTCATTGAGTCCTCTTCACTTCTTGTGGAGCAAGATGGGGAATACAGTGACCAGCAACTTTATCCCAAATCACTTTGTTCCACTTGTTTCCCGGACCGCTATGGAACTATCTCTAGGTAATGTGACGCTTGATGTCAGGTTTGCTTTTAAGTCAAAAATAAAAATGGCATTGTTTTAATTCATGTTCATTTGAATACATGTAACTTCAGGACCAAAAGACACCATTCTTGAGTACCCATGCCCCCTCTGTTCTGGGTGGTTTAGGAATGTCCAGCAGCACCTGAAATGTCATGACTCTTCAACTACTGACATAAAAATTATAGAGGAATTGAAGAAGATCAAGTTAGGCCAGCTCTTGCTTGAAAAGATTTTTGCCAGCACCTCCAAATTGGTATGTATCTTGCTTTGAGAGGTAGTAAAATGTTATAATAAAATAATTGTTTTAGTAAAATCCAACTAGTTGGTAAAAAATATTGAGAATTAAAAAAAATTTAGCTAGTTAAAACTAGACTTCCATCCTTTTTTTGCCGCCAAAAAGCCCGCGCTTTACGCCACTAGTGGACTATAACATATAGCCTAGTAGTAGCTCAACCAATGAGAATGCACCATCGATAATAGACCACTAGTTGGATTTTACTAATAATAAATATTGGGGTGTGTTGAGGAAATATCCTGGTTAAAGATCAATTGTTTCTTGTTTCAAAAGGCGTACCCTATATATCTCTATCCCATTCTGTGGGTTAGTAGTTTCTATACTCTCAAGCCTTCAAAAAGTGCAGTTGTTATCTATAATTTCTGCAATCGGCAGCCCAAAGACCCCCCACCACTGCAATATTATTTTATGTTGAACATGTAGCACAGGACTTGTTAAATATCAGTCCACAGTTTCACATTCTTTTTTGTTCAACCTCTACCCTGGTATTTCCAGTCTATTTTTATACTGTCCTTAGGGTGGGTATTGAAATTTCCTGAAACCATCACCACAAGAAAATTACAATCTTAAGCTTTCAATTGAAGTTTTTGAAGAAAAGATTTCCAGGGATTTAATATACCTGATGGGAAGTTTTTGACAAAAGATTTTCATACAATACATTATTTACTATTTTGTTTGATAGGTTGAAGGGGAGGTGTTTGAGGTGTCTTGCTCTCTAGGATGCTACAGTGTAAAAGCCATTTCAGAGAGAAATGTTGCTCTCAAGTTTGCATGTTTTCTTCTTGTCTCTGGGAAATTGTGTCCATTTCAAGGCAAGCATGAATTCATCTTTGTAAAAGGGCCCAGGCAATGCCTGAAGTTTAAGACCTGGTACAGAAATGTCAATGACCAGATGGAACCAGAGTTGGAATGTATTAGTTTAGTCAGGGCAGGTAATGTTGATGAAAACTTCTCTACATTTTGTAACTGATATACATGAAAGAGAGAATGTGTCAAATGTTTCAGCATGCACCACTCCACTGGCTCGTATCTCTATCCCAATCCTTCCTTCTGGAACTGTGACAAGTTCAATTGACCTGCTTGATACACTGAAAACTGTGTGGAGTTATTCAAGTCTTAAGCCACTCCAACAGAAAGCCATTGATTCTATTTTACATGGAAATGATACAATGGTGATTATGCCCACAGGTGGAGGCAAGTCACTTGTTTTTCAGTTGCCAGCAGTCTGTAACCACAAACCAGCCGTTGTTGTATCCCCATTAATTGCACTAATTAATGATCAAATAACTGACCTAAGGTCTAGGGGAGTTGAAGCTGTATCCTTTACAGGAGAGAAGGGCAGTACACGAAGGCAGCAAATTCTTTACAAACTGCGGTCTGGGGATCCAGATTTAAAACTTATTTACACCACCCCTGAAACACTGAATCGGGATGTTGTGTTTAAAGAAATCGTGAAGACAATGGATGAAAAAGATTTGATTTCTTATCTGATTTATGATGAGGCACATTGCATCAGCCAGTGGGGCAATGGTTTCAGGCCTGACTATTTAGCTGTTGCAGAAATGAGTAAGATTCTTGTACCAAAAGCACCCACTATTTTATTGTCTGCAACCGCAACGCAAGATGCTATTGCTGACATCAAATAAAAAATTAGACTACAAAATTTAAATATCATCCAGGGTAGCTTCAATAGGCCTAATCTTTCCTATGAGGTGGAAGAGAAACGGAAAGACACTGAAAAGAATATCATTCAGGTGATCTCTTCCACCGAAAGTGCCCTCATCTATTGTTCTACAAAGAGGGAATGCGAGGAAGTAAATGCTCTGATTGAAAGCAAGGGGATTTCAAGCCAGCCATATCATGCGGAGCTTAGTAAGGCTTTAAAAGAGAGCCCTCAGAAAAAATGGACCAAAGGAGAGATTAAGGTACTATGTTGTACCACTGCTTTTGGCATGGGTATAAACAAACCGAATGTGAGAGTGGTAATGTTTCACTCCCTCCCTTCATGCATGGAGGACCTTTTCCAGGCCTGGGGTCGTGCTGGCCGTGATGGACTTCCTGCCAAATGCTATTTGTATTTTTCATTTGGAGACAGAGTTTTCCACGTAAGAAACATTTTTGACCAGCACAATTTTGATTCACAAAGGCAAACTTCCTCTCTTTTACGGTTTCAAAGGGTCTTAGATTTTGTGATGTCTAAGGAATGTAGACGGAAAAAATTAATAACATATTTCAACCCAGAAGAAGCTGGTTTGGCCCTATGTGATGATTGTGATATTTGCAAAGATTCTGTGGCAAATACACCTCTTACTAACGACTACACACCACAAATCACCAGAATAATTGAGTTTCTTCAGGTTGTGGAAAGGCCCATCACTATTAAGTACCTGGCTCAAGTTGCATCTGGAAAAATGAATAAGAAAATTAGAGAAAATAGAGATGAACACTCTTCAATTTTTGCAGTTTTCAAGTGTACTGTTAATGCATGTGAACTTTTCTTGCGACACGCTGTAACAAAGGACATACTAAGAGAGGTGCCACCTGCACATGGAGTGAACAATAATTGTTCCTACTTGCAGCTGAAACTTGGAAGCCAGTACTTACAGTATGTTAGTGGACAGACCAAGTTAATGTACCGTTCCTTGTAAGGCTTACAGGTTGGTGCCTGCATTACTGTCTCAACTGCTGATCCTTAAATTACTGTTGACCATTGACACCCCAACACCTCCAATTGGTTATTGTCTGGAATTAAATGGTCACAGCTAGAGTTTAAGGCTAATTTGTCATCAGTTACAGGCCAAAATAAAATTCAAATTACAGTGTAAGGCTATGAGACAAAGAATCAACCTAGGTGAAAATATTTTTACCTGAATAATTATAATTTTGACCTGTATCACTTTATGTGTGGTGGAGGTAATTGGTCCACTAAGCTTTGTCTGTTAAATATAATAACCAACATGCCTGAGTATTTTCTCTCACTTTCTTATACTCTATGCCTTTAGCATTGTTTTTACCTAGGAATACATGTAGTTCATGTGAGGGAAACTTCAATTATCAGTTACAAAGTGTAAGGCTGTAGTAGGGAAAAGTCTGCATTTCATCTCCTTAAAATGTTTTTTTGAACAGCTCTTCTCCCCGCAACTGTGCATTCTGGCAGTCTTTGCGTAACTTCTGTTTCACTGATGGCAACTCCTTCTTGTTACTTGGGTAGGTGGGACCTTCCACTCTCCCTTTATCACAAAACCACTGTTCTTGTACAGCAAACCAGGCAACTTTAGCATGTTCACTTGTTGAATCTGGTACATGTGTTTTTTTGGGCGATCTCACATCATAGGCAGCTTTGAAAGCTGCCTCAAGCTCTGCACAGAAGTCAAGAATAAGACTTATTCTCTCTAATCCCTGGACTGTTGCTTGTTTTTTTGCATACATCTTTGTTCTTCTTACCAGTCTCTCCTCTATGAATTCGTCATCTGCCAAATCATGGCCTGGACGACCTGACAATGAAATTGTTCTGTTTCTCCGTAGGGTTCCCTCAATGCAAGGGGCCATGTACACATAATGCTCACAATGTGCACAAATGCTTCATCTTTGTAGTTCTTCTTGTTCATTGAAAAAAAAATCGGAGCCAAAAGAAAGTAACAAGCTTCCAGGGCTTTTCCATTACCACACCTAACACTAGTGTGGAAAAAGTCTAAAAGGAATAGATGATCTAATAGATTTTGTTTGTGGTATGAAAAAACTGCATCCCTGCTGGAACTCTCGTCGAGCCATCCTTGGAACCTTCTGCATAATAGATCTGTGTCACCCTCACCATGGTGCAACCGATCTTTGCTTGGAAAATAGACAGATGTTTCAAATTCTTTTACCACAGCAATGGCCATACCCCATGTAAAATCTTTCAATGCATCAATGTTGCGTTCCAAATTTCCTTCTTTAAATATTTTTTGGAAACTTTTTGATGTTACCTGATGTCTACCTAGCAACTGTCTCATCACATAATAGAATCCACCAGGGCCAAGGATTTTACCACAACATTGAGCTAAGTAGCCCTCCGTGTGAAAATCACCTGGCTTTTCCATGAAAGTTGAAAATTCATCAGGTGCTCTATTCCTGACAGATCGCACATTACTGCAGGTTTTTTGGTCACCAAAAGTGATCACTTTCTTTCTTACACTAATCACCTCGTCACTTTTTTCACTTTGCGGTCTATTTTCTGGTGCCACACCAGTCTTGCTAAGTGCTACTTCCCCTTTTCCATCAAGATATTCTGCAAAAACAGCCACCGCCTCATTCACTTCTTCGTTGATGTGTTGCAAAATTGTTGCTTTAATGGCAGGGTTATCAATCAATTGAACCAGTTCTGATGGCGGTGGAATTAGACCTGTAAATGTACCATGTGTTTTAGCATTGTATTTCAATAGCAACTGTACCATTTGAAACTGCTCCTTAATGATTGCGGTCATAACTGATGTTACACCACATCCCTCTGGTTTGTTAATTTCTGCACCAGAAACTAAAAGGCTCTCTGCTAGTTGGAGATCATTTTCTTCAACTGCCAGGTGTAGACATGTGCGTTTAAACTGGTCCTGTAACAACAACCATTCACTTTGGCGCTGCCGCAATATCATGGCACTTTGCTGCAAATTCTTTCCACGGGTACAACTTTTAAGTTTTGCCATTGCATTTTTCCTTGTTTGTTCAACTTTTGCACCGAATTCTTTAAAATTTAATTGTTTACCATTCCCTTCAGTAACTTCTACTTCTGAATCAGAGTCATGAACACTATCTGAAGAATCTTCCCCTTGTTCATCTGTGATATGCTTATCGTTGTCTTCAAGGGTCTTCCTGAAAACTTTCATTTCTTCATGGTGATATTTTAAGCCTTGGTAGAAAAGGAATCTTTCCCTTGCTGCTGAAAGATTGAACTTTCCCGTCGTGTGATCCTTTGGAATGTAATTACTTGAACGTTCACATTGAAGACCAAACTCTTTTGGATGATGGATGCAGTTCCACTTGTAGTGGTTTCATCATCAATGGACAAAGGTAACATCATTATCTCAGCTTTTTTCCCTGCATTTTGGGGGTAGTCATATTCCTGCTTTGGGACATTAACATTGTTTGAAAGTTTTGAAGGCTTCTGAAAGTTCTCAAGTAAGGTATTGATTGATTTTTCATCTCTGCTTTTCAGATCGTCAAAGGTGATACCAATGTTAAGGCCATAATGAAGCAACCTTAGCAGCCACCTGTGTTTGGCTTTTTCAATGATAGTGGACAGCTCCTTATGAGAATCTGTTTGAGAGTAGATTAAATTTAAAAATATATGAACCTCTCATGTGATATAAAGCCTGTGCAGTTCAACCTTTTGCACTCTGCATAAACAACCTGTTGAACTGCCTGTTAAAAAATCACTCTCCGGAATTTAGAGATCATACTTTTAATATCCCTATGGGTAATGGGTTCCTATCAAGATCATCACTGTGAAAACTTGTCAAAATCATATGAATTAGAGCACTAATTATAGTATGATTATTATAACCCAATATTATCATTAGTATCATGTGATGATGTACAGAAAGGTATGAAACAGAGTTATCTATATTATAAATTTCAAGGATGACATGGCAGTAACATGCCATTGTTACAAGAGCTGGAAGTTTTTATTCAATGGTCACTCAATTTAGGAAGGATCAATGGGATTTGAATAAAAAGCTTGGGTACATCACCCTAATGATCGAAGCCAATGACCTTAAAAGAACTAGCCAAGAGAATAACCATAACTTAACTGACACTTGGTTATTAATTCTGTGTAAAAGAATATGCAAATAAGGTCATGTGACCTTCAAAGGCTATTTTGCACGAAAAAACTTAAATTAGAAATGGCACCAGTTTATTCAAGCAGTCAATCAAAGAAGTCAATACCAAAAATGTCCCTAGGTGAACAACTAAACATCTGTCCATCAAACGGTTTTTGAATTTCGTCCCTTTTTAAAAGGGTAACTTAAAAGGCCTGGTCACCGAAATGATATACCTATTAGCCTCATCACTATAATGATAACTGCAACTTCCAGAAAGAAATGAAAAGTGGTCCTATTTTGCACTAAAAATAGCCTTGATAAGTCACGTGATAATTAATGACTACAACCATAATTCAAAGATATTGAAGTTGCAGGTAGTCTGTCCTCAGGTTATTTTGTGCTATATTGAAAGCTTAAAAAGTTGGCTCTACCCCCTCTGTTTTTGAGGAATTAAATAGAAGACCCCAAACCTTAATTTTTCTGAAGAAGAAAAAATAATAATTTGAGAGTATGTGTTTCACTGTAAGCATGACTCATTTTGACATCAACTTTACCTACAGTTATAATAACTACCAAATATGCAGTAAATTGATTAGAAATGTTAATAAGTTAAAACCATACCTTATTTGCTAATACTAGATACCTAAAAAGATGTCCTCAACAGTTAGGGCCAATATATCTTTCTGAGGTTTACAAGCAGTGTCAGGACTTTCCCAAAGATGTTCAATGCCATCAATATTGGGCTTCCAAGCCATACACACAGTAAGGTTCCACATCACTGGTAGAATTTTTCTCTTCAGTCTAGAAAATCGGGCTTTACCCTTGTAGATGTTGATATTGTCATATCCTATTATCAGGGGTGTGTTAGAAGGAAAAGCAACTGGTATGGCATCAGTGTAAGTGTTAAATAGACGACCCATCCACTTACGACTGAAAAAAGACCAAAAACGAATTTTTAAGTAACAAATAAGAGCAGATTCATCTCTTTTTGAAATAATGCAACACAAATCACATGTCCTGTTTTTTCTGTCTTTTTATATAGTTAAAAAAAGATATGACATATCCTGGAATCTCGTACTTTTAATTAGACCATCCCTGAAAAAAGACACAATATTAAAGAGTGTTGACTCTTTTGAGATGTAGATTGAAATGTACGTGGGTGAGTATTTGTAAAAGTGGCATTATATGCTGTAATGAACTAACTCCCATAGTTTTTTTTAAACTTGTAAGCTGGTATAATTTCATTGGTAAATGAACTGCCCTTTAAAATGAGCTTCAGAATTGTATGTGTGTACTATGCATGTAAATGTTGATCAGGGTTTTGACCATTTGAATCACTGAAATGTATATGACTGTAGTTACTTACTACCACTCATAGCTCTTGCATAATCCTATTGAAGACAGAAGTGTTAAGATAGATTTCCCTCCACCATTGGCTATTAACAACAGGCCAAATAAATTTGGAAAATCTGACAATGACTTCTGTGACCTGATATGGGTAATAAAAGTTAACAGTGGTAAAGCTTGCTTGAACTTGAATAGGGCATTTCTCTCACTGTTGTCCTGTGTGTTGGTTCCTTCCACCAATGCTTTAGTGATACTTGCATGGGCATTTCTTCACAACTTTCTCACACACTGTTTCAAAGTACTCATTTAGTCCACTTTTTTGCAAAGTAAAAAGTTCCTTGGCATCGATTTTGCCAAGATCAATGCCACTGAATTGATCAAAAAGCTTTATTTCTTCATGCAGTTGACAAGTCTGAGAAAGTGACAAAGAAAATGGAGACTCTTTGGTTGTATCAGTGGTGAAAAAGTTTTCCAAATCTGCTTTCTTTTGTCGTAAGTTGCTGTTTTGGTACTGATCTGTTTCCTTGTCAATGGCCATTAAATTGTCAAATATATATCTACATTAAATTAAGGCAAAATTTTTTATCCAAACAATCTTTTTTGATATCAAATAGTATTGCTGGTAAGAAAGGAAAAGTTCAGCGAAGGACAATTGTGATCTCTTTAAAAAATGAGGAATGTTATCACCACTAGGCAAGGGAGTATGAGCCAAATATTAATTTAAAAAAAACTCACTCAGATTAATTCAAGGATACACATTACTCCTTGTGCCTTTTCCTGCCATTTTAATCCGTTTTCTTTCTACAGGAGGGTCTGCCTCCATAAATGCTTTTTCCAGTAGGTACGTCACTGTTCTTACATTGACCTCCATGCCGCACATCTTTTCTATCATGCTGCACACCTCCTGACAGAGAAGCTGGGATCCAGCTGCAGGCTTTAGAAGCAATTTCAGGGAATGCAAAATTTGCTGTTCACAACCTTAGTTTATGCAAAAAATATTCTTATTAAAAAAAACACCAAAAACATCACTACATTGTGTGTAAGTAAAACAAACGAAGCAAGAGGCTTGGAGCTCATGCTTCAGGAGAAGTAAACTATAAACAGGAGAAGTCTAGTGGTAATAAAATATAACCAACAGGTTGCTTTTCACAATTTAACGTGCAAAAGTTGAGAAAAAAAAATTAATATTCTTTTTACATCATGATAACTCATACTGCATTAAAAAGAAGTTACTTGAAAATTACCAAACAATTTGCTGTGCTTCTTTCTAGGTTGCGGGGCTTCCTTTGACTTTGGTGTGAAATCTCGTTTGCTCGATTCAGCTGTTCCTGGTAGAGCTAAAAAAAACACAATTTTTATAATTTTAGCGGATTACAGACGGAGACAATTCCCTATCAATGCGCTTGAATAACAACACTAAGAGAAAGTCAAACTATTAAGCTATAATAAGCTGGAAGTGACATCTTACCTTCTTCCTTCGACGGTGTTTTCAGCAAACTAATCTGTTTCTTTCTAGGTTGCGGGGCTTCCTTTGACTTTGGTGTCAAATCTCGTTTGCTCGATTCAGCTGTTCCAGGTAGAGCTAAAAAACATAATTTTTATAATTTTAGCGGATTACAGACGGAGACAATTCCCTATCAATGCGCTTGAATAACAACACTAAGAGAAAGTCAAACTATTAAGCTATAATACGCTGGAAGAGACATCTTACCTTCTTCCTTCGAAGGTGTTTTCAGCAAACTAATCTGTTCTGTCAATTCTTCTATTTCGCTACCTGAATCTATGAAATAAAACAGCGGCTAAGTACTACCATCATATAAGGCAACATTGAAAACGACAATTCGATAAAAAAGGGAAAATTTACTTCTTGCTTACGAGCTGAAATTTCCCTTGGGCGTCCGCACCTTAACATTTATTTGCTTACCTTTTGCGGAGAAAAGGCGTTTCTTGAATAAAATCTGTGTTTCTACTTCAGGATCCTTTCATTTACATTGGGAAGAATATATTCAACAATTGTTACACACAAAGCATAAGCCCGGAAAGTTGTGATATGCAGACTGTTTTAGCACTTACCGGTTCCACACCTCCTTCCGCCATTTTGCCGTCAGAACAGGCTGTCACTTTTGTCTCACTTAAGGTCATTCCCCTGAATTGCATTGCGCATCTCTACTGCGCATAATATTGCAACACTGGTCACGCAATCTTTCAAGATGGCTACCGTCAGCGTCGGCACCAAGTCAAGAGATAAAAAAGGTTTTTTTGTAAGTTCAAAAGAAAAGGGAAGACGAGAAAAGTTAAAAAATATTTGGAAAAGGAAGTGTTGTAATGTGGAAGGTGATGGAGGCGTTAGCACAAAAAAGAAATGCATCGAAGCCGGCAGCTGCAACTTTCGAGGCAGACGAGTAATCGAGTTAGACGTGCTGGCCAGAGCCCTGGATAGTGGTTGCAGTGCGTGTGGAAAAGCACTTCAGCTATCAAACTGCCAAGATGAGACTATCTCTGGGTTGGGTAGTTTTTTGTATATTATGTGCAGCGATCCGGAATGTGGAGAGGTAAATGTGTGCACCACAAACAAATCGCATCGTGCCGCCGGTGCTGGTCGTGGCCGACCAGTTTTTTATGTCAACACCAAACTTGCCGCAGGTAGGTATTTTTTTTTGATTAGCAGCTTTTATCTGAACATTTTAACAAGCTTCATCAAAATTTAACAATCATAATACCGTGTAATAACTAACTTTTAAATGTAAATGTACTGTGTTTATACGCAGGAATGTTACACGCCGGTATCGGGGTAACACATGTAAACGCACTTCTCACGTCGATAAACCTTCCAGCCGTGGGACAAAACACTCTGAAGGCCAGAGAAAGAGAAGTTGGCCCAGCGATTGAGGCTGTTGCAAGGAATTCATGTTTAGAAGGGTTACAGTTGGAGAAAGAGTGTCGGAGGACCGGGGACACAGAGCAAGTTGTAAAAATCGGGGTATCGTACGACATGGGCTGGCAGAAGAGGGGAAAGGGCCACAATAGTTTGACAGGTCAGTCCTATAATATACATAAAGCCATGAAATAATGGAGGTAGTTTTGCTTTGCCTGCGTGGCATCCATATCAGTAACAAGTGTCTGTTTATTCGTTATAAACTACAGTATAAACAAATTCACAACAATTTTTTCTTTTGCTTAAATAATAACAATAGTAATAAGATAATGAAATAGCAGCTCTAGAAGTAAAACTCAATAGACCACAAAATTTCCATCCAACAGCAGTCAGGCAATTTAACATTTGATTTCCTTCAACAATAATATTATTATTAAAACCGAATATTGGAAGCAGGGTGCTTGTTCGAATCATCCCCAAAGACAGTGAATGAGCTAATTACTAGCATTAGTAATACAACAATGAGTCATTCATTTAATTTCTAGAGGTATTGACTTTTTGACTAAAGTAAATAAAACAAGACTATTTTTCTTTCATAGGAGTTGGGTCTATGATTGGGCTATCTTCAGGCAAGGTGGTGGGCTACAGCACAAGGACAAAGAGATGTGCATTATGTGAGGCAGCTAAGAGAAATGGCAAGGAACCGAGGTCACATGACTGTCGGATGAACTGGACAGCATCCTCCAAGTCCATGGAGCCCGATGTTGCTGTGGAGTTGGTAAAGGGCGCCATTAGTGCGGGTGCTCAAGTGTCAGTTATGGTTGGGGATGAAGACTCGGCCACAATCAAGAAAGTGAGGGAAAGTGTCACACATGAAGTTGACAAATGGTCAGATATTACTCATGCAAAACGGTCATTTGGATCCCATCTCTACAGCCTGCAACCACAGCATAAAGGAATCCTTAGTACTAAAGTAATTAACCACTTCTTGAAATGTTTTGGGTATGCGCTAAGCCAAAACAAAGACAATGTTGACGGTCTGGAGAAAAATCTGAAAGCCATTGTCCCTCATGCATTTGGCAAACATAATAAATGTGACAGTTCTTGGTGTGGGTTTCTGAAGAGCCCCACAACGTACAAACACAAGAGCCTCCCACGTGGCAAAGATTTAAAAGGTGAGAAACTAGAGGAAGATCTTAATGCTGTTGTGGACATCTTTGTCCAGAATTCGGAGAAGCTTGCCCCTCTTGGTTCAAGTCAGTCGAATGAAGCCCTCAACAACCCCATTGGCAGCAAAGCTCCAAAAATTCCACACTACGGTGGCAGTGAAAGTAATGATTTTAGAGTGGCCTGTGCTGTCAGCCAGAAGAATGTGGGTTATTCTTATGTGGCAAAGGTTAGCATTAGCTTTAAGTGACCACACATCTGCGACTACATTAAAGAGAATAATATCATAGCTTACAGTGCAACTACTAGAACTGAAGCCACCAATGGAACAATTTTTTTATTTTATTTTTGCAAAATATCCTAAGCATTTATCCATTGAAAACATAGCAGAATAAATAAGACTTTATGTCTTCTACAAAAGTGTACAACATTTGTTTAGATGGCTTTGTTTGTAGTAATTGCACTGTAATGCAATGTTATTGGATAACTGCAGGAAGATTTTTTTTGCAACCATAGGATGTTTGCAGGTATATGAATAGTTGTCGCACATATAAATATTGGTATTTTAATAAGGTATATCATCACAGATTATGAGTAGATAAGAAGTCAGTGTCAGATGTCTCTTATAATGTAACAAACAACACTTCATGTCCTAGGCTCTTGCTCCAAACCAATTTGTCCTGTTATAATAAATTTATTATGTTCTAGGCTTTACACGAAATTCAGTTATCTCCAGGCAGATATTGTGAAAGATATGCAGGCAGAGTAGATAGAAAGATACCACTCTTAGCAGCCAGAACTAAGACTCGGGAATACAAAAAGGAGAGAAGGCAGAGAACAGAGAGGAGAGCATCTAAGCTCAAGCAGTTAGAAGCCAGAGAGGGCAAGCAGTATGAAAGTGGCCTAGGTTACAGACATGACAGTTCTGAAGAGCAGACTGAAATACCACCTCATACTTGCAGACCAGATATACAAAAAGTCTGTGCACCAGCTTGCATGAAGACAGTAGTGTTTGACTTGGAGACATCTTCAAGGGGTACCAACTGACTAATAATAATAATAATAATAATAATAATAATAATAATAACAGTAGTTCATTAAAAATTAAAAATCATAATCATTCTAATCATTCTTCTTCTTATCATTATTATTAGTAGTATTATTATTATTTTATTATTATTATTATTATTATTATTATTATTATTATTTTTATTATTATCATTTATTATATAGACACGAGTGTTTTACTGGAAAATATACCACTCGTAAAATTCATAAAAACTACATCCGGGACCTGAGTGGTTTATTTTCCATAATCTCACACGTGAGTTTATCGATGACATAATTTTGGTAATTTCCCTCTATTATTTTATCAATGTCATTTTGTCTATATAATAAAAAGAACATTACACGGAGGCTTGAAGATATGAATTTTATTTTCTCGTGGCAAAAACAATATTTTACTCACTCACTGCGCTCATTCGTAAAATATTGTTTTGCCACTCGAAAATAAAATTCATATCTTCGCACCACCGTGTAATACCCTCTATTTATTTTTAGTGCATTACATTTGAATGCTCTTAAAATATTGAATAAACATTACAAAAGAATAATGCAAGATCCTTTAATTTATTGTTTGGGATAGCCAAAGCCTACTCAGTTTTTTCACTCCTGAAAGTTTTCTTTCATCTCTAAGAAAGAAATTAAAACTAAAACTTCCAAAAAATTCAGTATTCTGCAAACTAACCATATTTGTTTTCAATTTAATGTTAAATTGAGGAATATTGTATTTTATGAAGAATTTTTAAAACGTTCAAACTGTGTATGGCATACAGTTAAGTATTTCAAAGCAACATAATGGTAGATTCATGTTTAATTTTTGCAGTAATTATGTCCTGGATAGTTGAACAGGAAAATGTTTATGCTAAATTGTTAGGTGAATTGTTTACAAATAACCAAATACAAAGACCAAAATTGTTTAACAATTAAAATTCCCTCATTAATTTTGGCAGGTGATGATGCTGAAATTTGCGAGATTGCGGCAGCAGAAGGAAAGAATACCTTCCAAGTTTACATCCTTCCTAGCAACAGCATAACACCAGCTGCATCAGCAGTCAACAAGTTGACTGTGAGGAGTGGGGTTCTCCACTATGATGGACAACCAGTTTCCTCAACATCTTTAGTAGCAGGCCTATCAGATCTTCTTTAATGGCTCGAAGCAAGACAACCGTGTTTGCTCATTGCACACAATGCGAAAGCTTTTGATGCAAAACATCTGGTGAAGGCAGTGACTTCAAGTGACCTGCTTCCCAAGTTCTCTCAGGTGGTACTTGGTTTTTCAGATACCCTGCCAGCCTTCAGACAGCTGTTTCCTGATAGAGCATCCTGCAGCCAAGAACACCTAGCACAAGACCTCCTTGAGAGAACCTACAATGCCCATAGTGCATTAGATGACGTCCTCATCCTACAAGAGCTGGCATCCAAGTATATCACTGACAGCACTCTGTTACAGCACAGCTTTACAACATCATGGGTGGAGACATACACAGTGTTCCTTGGCCAGAAGAAACAAAATCTCAAAACCCTACAGCCACTCATCAGCTCAAAAGCAGTGTCAAAAGGAATGGCGGAGAAAATAGCAGCTTCTGGCTTGAGACTAAGCCACATACAGCTAGCATTTACAAGAGGTGGAGCTGATGGAATCTCCAAGCAGGGACACCCAACGAGAATATAGTTCAAAACCACTTAAAAATAGCATTGTTAAACGTATTTTAGTATTTAAACGGTAAATTTTTCATCTGTTCGGATTTCCTAGCTGAAAGTCTAGTGATCCGAAAATAATAGGGATCAAAACTTGCCTTTTCGAAAATTTCAGCCAGAAAAAAGGCTCCCGAAAATTCTAGGTGACCTTTTTAGGGTAAAAATCCGTTAAAAATAGGCAATTATACCATTTTTTACATGTTCGAAAATCCTAGGAGAGGCAGACAAGCAAGAAAGTTTACAACAAAGTCCTCACAGAGAAATTTAGCGGCAGGGCAAGGATCACAACGAACAAGAGAATTCTTGAGAGCATTTCCAGTTTCTTTACAGACAAGTGAAATGTAAATTCCTAATATGAGAATGTAAACAAGAAAACGATAAGTTATGATATTTATCATTCTGTGCTTTTGCTGAATTAATTATACAATGTGTGATAAAACTTAGCTAAACTTACCTGTATAAACATGTAAATTCTTAGTTGACACTGCCAAAACGTATCCGGAAGTCACCAGGATTCGTCATGCAATATCTCCTGGTCTCTTGTACGGGTCCCCAAATGAAATTTAACCTATTTTTCCAACATTAAGAATATGTTTTTGCAGGGTTTGAGCCAGGCCGCGCCATTGCGCCAATCCCGCACTGCAATTGGAATTGTCCCTTTAAAAAACGGCCAAGGAGACAATTTGTCCCCTTCAAAATTTAGGGAAAAAACTCGAAAGGAAGCACACACGAAGAGATTTATTTCAGTACAGAAATTGCAAGCTGAAACAGAACGTGGAAAGTATATTTTACGTTATTTTATCGCACGTTTAAAGTTCATTCTAAAGTTACGTTTCAGTCACGCTCTACTGCTATTTTTGTCGGAAATCTAAGACAGGGCTTCTGATATCTCGCGCGGTCGCGGAGCCGCGAAATTCTCAAAAACACGAAAAATCCCGCGAAATTCGGTAGAAATCTTATCAAATACATGTCTGTATAACATATTTGAAACTTATTTCAGCTTTTCGGGCTATTTACTTGATTATGTTGCGAAAAACTGGGCACCAGCCATGATGTTAAAGGCTTTGCCATTGGTTCATTTCTGGAGCGTATTGTTGTTGAAAGAGCAAATGATGACCTCTGTTAGAAAAACGTTAAAAAAGCTTGTCCTGATCAGCGCAAAACCGATCGATTTCTAGCGAAATTTGCCTTGAAAATAACCACAAAATCGGCCGCTTTTCGGTGAAGTTTGCCCCGAAAACTCCCGCGAAATCGGCCGATTTTTCCGTGAATTTGTCCCTAAAAATCCCGCGAAATTTCACAAACCCTTTGCATCAGCAGAAGAGTGTACAAATTTCTGTCCCCCTAAAAATGAAAATGTCCCCCAAAATTTTAGCCAAAGGGACAAATTGTCCCCCAGTGCTCAAATCCTAGCTCAAACCCTGGTTTTTGACCATAGTTCGGTTTCTGGAGCATTTTTACACGTATTTCATTACCGACAAAACTATCTCGTTATAAAGGCGAATTCTGAAGGTCTTCAAGTTTACTTCATGCAAGACTTAGTAGAACGTCCTGAGCCACACCCATATTGTACCTTCGCGCAGGGGGTGGGGTTGGGGAGGGGGTGGAGGTTCTGTAAAAGGGACAGTCTCCAGATTTTAGATCTGCAGACGATGGCATCACTGTAATAAGAACTTTGAGCATTTGCATTACAAATGAAAACTTGTACCACTTGTTCACATCATACTTGGGGCTGGACTGGGCCCCATTATGTTGTGGCTTGTCTCGCCAGATCGCTAAAGTGACTTATTTCATTAAGAAAGCCATGCAAGTATTATGTAATGGTAAGATTTCTCGGAAATTATAATTTAAGTGTCATATTAAAGTGTCAGATTCAGTATTGCTTGTTCTTTTTATTGTACCAAAGTAACGTTAATTTGGATGCCATGGCAACCATTTTTTATCATTTTGTCCTCAATCAGGAGCCCAGATAAAGCATTCCTTTAACCTGTCACTTACCAACCAAAAAGTAGATCTATACGAATAAGTGCAGTTAAATTTACCATGTTTTTTTCCTGGAAAGAGAAATGGGCCTGCCCACCTGGGAACAGAAAATGATGGCATAACTTCTAAGCGAATACCGGCACCCCCCTCTTTTTTTCGCTTGTTTGACTCTACAAACAATAGGCTGCCTACACAAAAAGAATGGACAATTTTCTATGTTCAGAAAAAAAGATATATAGGAAACAATAAAGCCAATACTCATTTTTGCATTTAAATTATGGTAACCATGGTAACGAATTTAGGGAAGTGCTTCCTCAACGTATGCGTTTTCCTACCAAAAGCCTTTTGAAAGTGTTATTCTTGTCCAACTCTAAATATGTATAACTGGAGGCTTATTTCGCACAATCAGTAGTATTCTGAGTGTTATTAGGCCTAATTATTTATATAGTCCATGGTGCAAGGCAGCGAACCGGGAGTGTCGAAAATTGCTTCAAAGGGGGTAGGTTTGAGCCCTCGCAGCTCGTAAACGAATACCGGCACCCCCCTTTTTTATTTTGATTTCGAAGTCCTAGTATGATGAATATTTAATAGACAAAATTTGAGAAAAAATCTATGTTAAGTTCTATTTCAGGGGAATGACCTTAAAGATTTTTGTCTAGGCCCGACATTTTCGCATGGATCACGTGACCTGAAACGCTTTGGCCGCGAGGAAAAATGAGGCCTAGGGACTAGGCAAATGCAAGCCCATTGTTTCCCAGTATCATGTGACATTTTTGCGTCACGTGTTGTCATTAGACCGGAACGAGCTGATTAACCGGTTTCACAATCTCAGGTATATTCGAAAGCCAGCCGTGAACAGGAAAAAAACGACAAGTAAACAAATGATTGGTAAAAAAGCAACATGCTAATGGTATTGAAAAATATTGAGCTTTAAAATACTCTCCTCTGATATTAAAACTACAAGTGACATTTACAAAGCGATTGAGGTTTAAAACGACATTCAAAGGACACAGCATCATAATGTATTTAATAAAATCATGCTTAGACGTGATAAATACCGAAAACCAGTATCAGATCTGGATATATTTTTTTAAAAAGACTACGTGCTGTGTACAGCTAAACATTGTTCTCTGAGATCGCGTAAACCTAAACTTTACGGAGATATGAAAAGCATTTACTCTAAGATAACGGCAGCTATGGAAAAATTATTATATTTTTGAGTAGACATATCTGATAAACGGGCTACAAAGTCAACAGTAATACGCGCGAACTGAATAAATTGTCTGTTGAACATTTTAAAGGTTCTGCTCAACTAACACAATTTTCCCTTGCTGAACATAAACTGTACCGAGCCGTATCTTGGTCCGCTATATAGAAGCGATATCATCGTTCAAATTTTAAACTGTAAGATCCCTGAAAGAAGTCTCCTCAATGGACCAATATATAAAAGGTTTCAAAGGTTTCACGCCGGTGAAGATGTGCGGCCTGTCACCTCTTGCAAGTTTTTACTTTAAGGTCTCGGTAAATGAAAATTTTAGTACATTGCTCGATTTTGTTTTTTTTTTACTTTTGGCATGAGTGGGTCCTAAATTTTATTTTGGCAGAAAAAGAAAATCAGAAAGTGCTTTTTAACCGTTCTAAAATGAGCCTTTTCTGCGCTAACCAGCCAAGCGTGGACCTCGCGCTAAATCTTTAGAGCTGATTTTCTCTCACTCTATTTTAGACGCAAAAATCAAAATTCTGCGACCTCCAGTCGGGACAGGTTTTAAGCTATCGCTTTGAAACTTTCAGATATGATGGATAATGATATAGACTCAAAAAGGGTGTGAGGAATTTTCCGATTTCCCTTTGTAACTCATTTTATGTCAGTTTCTTTGCGTAAATCGCGCTCGAGATTCGACTTTTTAGTTTGAAATGCAATAATTCCGCTAATACGAGACATATGCAAATTTCCTCACACTCTTTTTTAGGTCTTTTATCTGTCAATCAGACGCAATAAAAAGGAAGTGAATATTTAACAACGCGAAAGGGCTGGAGCTTCAGCAGTAAACTCGATACCTCTGAGTTCGAGAGCAAAAAACTTAAGCGCCTTTTGAAATTCGATAAAATAAAATCTTTTATAAGGTAATTTAGTCTTTTAGCTTTAATTTGATATATAACTTGCCTTTGTAGCGAAAATACTCGCGCGACTAGAATTTTTTTCTGTGGGCACCTCGTTTTCCTTTACCGAGACCTTAATGCAGAATTTATTATATCAAATCATAAACGCATGATTTTAAATAATAATTTATTATATCAAATCATAAACGCATGATTTGAAATCAACATTTATTATATCAAATCATTGACGTATGATATCATATCAGAAAACTTTATTTAATAAATAACGAAAAAAATGACAAAATTAAGCTAAATCATTTTTTTTACAAACGGCGCCCCATACTGAACAGGAAGTCAACAAATACT